CGCTTAAGTGAAACATTAAGATACAGGAGGTGGCGCTGGAGGAACTGATCAGTAGCACAGTAAAGCGAGGGCGATGCCTGCAATTTGAGAAGAAAGGTAGCTGCCAGGCAAGATGGGGCCGCATCCTGGAGCAAGGGAGGTCTGAAATAATAAAAGTGCATCATCTGCACGCACTGAAGATTTCCGCTCTCCCCACCGCCCAAGCACGCCCACCCCGGAACGACCTCCACCCCATCGAACTAACAGTACAGGCTGAGATAATGACAATAGAATAGGTCACAGCTGAAGTGAGCTGCTGAAACGGCGCAAAGCTGAGCAAAGAGAAAGCTGTCGAGTAGTGGCAGCCCTGAGCGCGGCGGAGAAACGACGAGGCGGCGACGCGGCTGGATACTGAGGTGCTGAGACGAAGCTGCGTGACTGAAACAGTCATTTAAAAATCACTGGCAGGCACGCTGGCATACAGCAGCATGCAACCCAGCCGCCCTCCACCCAAACCTTGATAACCGAAGCCAAGCCCAATCCACCCCGCGATTGCACGTTACTGGGTCGGCGCTGCCTGGCCTGAACTGCAACGGCTTGGGCGCGATGGCTCGGCTGCGAAGAAGCAGAGGCTTGAAGACTGCAGCCAGGTGAGCTGACATGACAGCGAAGTAGGCTAGAGGGCAGATGGAACGCGGCACGAGCGACGCGCGAAGATTCATGGAGCCTGCAACGCAAGAGAGGACTGGTAACTGCAAAGCTCTGCGACGACTGCTGATGTTGCCGAAGATAGAAAATATACCTTTCGCGGTTCGTCAGCAGGCAGCAACGACGGGGGAGAAGACGGGGGGGGCAGGGGATGTGACACGTCCAAAGAGGCGATCGTCCAAGTCCCGTACATCCTCAAGCGGACACGCAGGACCTCGGCCATTACCAGCCATCAGCGAGGGAAGGCGCAAGAAACAAGGGAGACGAAACGACCGAACGGCGGACGCGGGGGCGATTGCAGGAGGAGGCGTGACAGCAAATACGAGGGAGTAGAAAGGGCAGGAGGGAGTGCCGTCAGAAATCCCAGACCTGCGGCGATTGCAATTCTGGAGGTTGCCGCGGCGGTGCAGCGAGGTTGTAGGCTTTACAGTCCATGCCGCAATACGACCCCACCTCTGGTCACCAGGACAGGCTGAGCATGTGAGGCAAATGTGTTACCCCCAGTAATCGCTGCCGTCCGCCTGTAGCGGTGGGTACCTTGGTTTCGGCGTGGGTGGCGCCTTGTATTCAGGCACTGGGAACTTCGGCGCGGGCGTGGTTGGCGCTGTCACGGCGATGGATATTTCTTGGCGTCGTCGTAGCTCTGTTTGGCGTAAGCTGCGCTGTCGTCCCTCTGTCAGGCATTGCTGGTATTGCTGCTGGTGGTTGCGCACCGTCTCGATGTAGTCCAGGAACCTCTGGCCGTTGCTGCCGGGGACGAAATGATGTCTTAAGTGATCTGTACGTGGGCACTGGAGTGGGGCACGTGCGTCCGCCTTGGAGCTGCGCATCGGAGGTGCCTTTGGTTGGCAGTCTATCTGCTTCGTGGCTGGCGCTGGCTCTGCTGTGGGCATGTCATTCAGCGCTGGGCCCTTGCAGCCTCTGGCGGTGGCCATGCGATGGGGATTCTGAGGTTAGGTGGAGGTGGGTGAATTGGGCTCCTGATCCCTTGTGCGGCGCTGGACTGCTGAGTCGAAAATAGATTGGTCGTTGATGCTGGCTGGTGCGGCGTGTCGGTATCTGCTTGTGGTGTTTGTTGTCCTGGCTGCGGTGCGTCGTCAATAGCATCGTCGCTGCAGCAAGAGGTTGATGGTGATTGTGGAATGATGCGGTCGTGGCCTTGTGCGCAGGTTGGGTTGCACATCCGCTGCAGCAACTGTGCCGCGTCGTGAATTCGCGCGGCCCAATCGTGCCTCGTGTTGTCTTCGTAACCGTGACACAAGCACAATCATTGCGAGACTGCGAGCATGGCCTGGTTGACGATGTCGCGCATCCTTGCAGTCGGTTCTCGCATTAGGGAGGCGCGGCGTCTATTGGCGATGTGGACTGCCATTCTAAAGTCCTCCTGAACCGGTAGTAGTTTGCAAATCGTTCATGCAGTGTCCTAGTGGAGGTCGCGTTTGGTAGGGTGCATGGACATGGTTGCCGTGGAGGTAGGCGGGCGTCTGTCGGCGTTGCGTCGCTGAGCTCTAAATCTTTGCTCTCCTCGATCGGAGGCATCCCAAACGTGGAGAGCAGGGTCGCATGAGGATCGGGCCACAGCGGCGGGTGAGGAAGGGTTGGTTAGAGGTTGTTGTTAACGAAGCACCCGTTGTTGTGCTTGTCAAGGTACTTGTGCCAGCCAGGTAATAGTAGGTGGTCGTTTGGAAAGCTGTAGGTGCACGTGTTGTTTGCAGCGTTGTAGTAGACTGCGCAGTGCCAGCTGCCCTCGTCGCAGTCGTCCTCGTCGCTTCTGTTTTTGGCACTGCATGCCACCCAGCCTGCAGGGTAAGTAACGCATAACGCGGCTCTCGCGCGGTGGTAATGATGCGAACTAATAAGCGTAAAGCTTGCTTATAGTCGTCGCTGATGTCGGTATAGCTGCCCTCTTCGGAGTCGCCTATTGCTGCGCGCACTTCTGCGTCGTTACCTTCGTCGCCCCAAGGGTTGTGGATGGTGACAGGCTGCCGTGGTGCGATTGGCGTTGGCATCTTAGCCTTGGGCAGCGGTGTAGGTACATGCGTAAGTGGCGGTGGTGGTTTTGCTTGTTGGTCTTGCTTGTTGGTGGTCTCCCTTGGGTCTGCTGTCGAGTTGTGGCATGTAATGCCGCGGCGGGGTAGGCAGCGCGTTGCCAGAGCAGCATGTGCGGAGACTGTCTTCGTAATCGTATTTGGTTTCCTCCGATTGCATTATTTCTTCGAGCTGCGCTTGCATCCATTCGCAGCGCGAGTTGTCGGCGCAGATGTCGGTCGGTATTACAGCATCCCCGTCTGCATGAATCTCGGAGGCCTGAATACGAAGCTGGTGCCGCGTGGGTGAGGTATTTGCGTTGTCGGTGAGGGCTTGGTTGTGTCGCTATTCCTGGTCACGGGTCGCATGTGCGTGAGGATGCAGGTTGGTTACTGGTATAGGCGTAAGTCCATCGATGATTTGTGGAAAGGATGGATTGTCAGGCGTTCGCGGCAGGAGTTCATAATGAATTGGAGGGGGTCGTGGATGCTGTGGCGCCTGTGGTAGTGGCTCCCTCACCGTAACTGCCCACTTATTTAGCAAATCCTCGGCGTGGTAGTCGACGTCATTTAGCTCGACGTAGTCGGGTTGCTCGTAGGTTGCCGGTGGCGCGATGTGCCTGTGGGACTTTGACTGGTCACCAACTGATGTAGTCCACGGTGGGTGGAGTGCTGCTGCACCTGATGTATGGAGTACATCGGCCAGTAGGTTGGTGAGCGAGAGTAGCTCTTACCCCGTGACGATATTTTTCCTCGGACTTGGTCATGGAGCAGAGGAACGTGTTGTTCATGGTGGATTGGTACCTGGTGCGGACCCCACTGTTTACGTCAATGGAGAACTCGCATCGTTTCTCGTACTGTTGGTATTTGTACCACCCTTGTTATGGCGGGGTTGCCTCAAACGTACCTTGCTGTGGTCGATGTCGTCGTTGATCTTGTCCCATGGTTGGTCGACGATTACTTGTCGGCGTATGTCGAGGTCGACACTATCGCTGTGTATGAAGGGCTGCCCGTCTAGTCGGTAGTCAGAGCGTCGGTAAAATGGAATGTCATGAGGCCTCTCTGCCCAATGACTCCACATGCTGGCGTGGGACCTTATGTGCTTCCACTGTTGTAATACATGTTCTGATCGGGTCTTCAATAGCTCAGATGATGTCTGATAAATGTCGAGCAAGTAGGCCGCTGTGGCGTGGCGTTCGTGGACATATGTTGCCCATCCTCGCTTGGTGGAACTGATATGAACTCGCGCCCGAGGTGTAGTCAGATGTACGCGAAGAACTTGTCGAGGTTCGTGTTGTTGACTTCGTGCTATTTACTTCTCTGTATTTGAGCACTGAGCGTGGTTGCTGAGTTTGGGTCGTGTTGGTCTGGAGTCGCTTTTGGTTGTGGTGGCTGGTAGGTGGGTGTCTTCTGTTGACCGTTGAGAAATGGTGGAAGGTCGTCGTTCCCGTCGTCCCCGTAGTGCTTGGAGGTGGTACGGTTGTGCTGCGCAAGTAGTCCTCCTCCTCCTCCATCTCCTCCTCCTCCTCCTCCTCCTCCTCCTCCTCCTACCTCCTCCTCCTCCTCCTCCTCCTCCTCCTCCTCCTCCTCCTCCTCCTCCTCCTCCTCCTCCTCCTCCTCCTCCTCCTCCTCCCCCTCCTCGAGGAGCAGCCTCCATGGGGCGGGAGGGCACCGACGGTGCACCCGCAGCGGTCCTGGGCAGGCTCCTCCTCGACTGCCCACCGGACCACCCCAGCCCGACCCGACGACCCGAATTTCGGGCGGGGGGGTGGTGCGGGCTCCACATGTGTTTTGTCGATGTTCCCCGGCGCCCCCGCCCCACTGGGGATGGAGGGCAAGTCGGGGCCGTCGGGTTGGGCTGGGGTGGCCTGGTGGGTGGTGAGTCCTGCGCCCAGGACCCCTGCAGACGCCCTCCTGGCTTGGGCAGGAGGGCGCAAGCACCGATGCCGGGCCCGAGGTCGACCCGGACAGGTCGGTGGGGGTGTACAGTTGGTGCCCTCCGAGCGGGGGAGGGGGGAAGACCCCAGACTTGTCTCAGGAGAGGCGAAGTCCAGACGGAGCAAATCCACACGGAGACCGAGCACTCCGTATGGACTTCCTCCGCATGGACTTAGCCGCGGTTTAGTGAAAACGACCTCGGGCCGGGCGCAAGCCTGGAAAATGACGGCCGCGGCGCCCTGTGAAGAACCGAAGACGGACCATTCACTAATCGACGTGTCAGGGTGGGGGTTCTGTCCACCCCGACCGATTGTCCCAACAGCTCCCTCCCCCCCCTCGGCGAGCGACCTCCATTGAGGGGTGGAGCCACACCGTGAGGTCGATCATGGCCTCGGAGGCGCCGGAGGCGCGGTGTGGCGGAGTGTGGTGCGGCAGCGGGAGGCCCTCTCGCATCCCCTTCTCCGCCCCCTCCTCGATGAGGGGGAATGGGGAGGAGGAGGAAGGGGGAGGAGGAAGGAGAGCAGGTGGGAGGAGGGAGGAGAGAGGAGGGAGGAGGGAGGGGAGGGAGGGAGGAGGGAGGGAGGGAGGAGAAGCAGGGAGGAGGAGGAGGAGGAGGCGGAGATTGAGGGGGGGGAGGGGGAGGGGGAGGAGGGAGGCAGAGAGGGAGGAGGAGGAGTAGGAGGAGGGGGAGGGAGGAGGAAGAGGGGGGTAGCGTGCATCACTTGCCACATGTGTGCACTCAGCTCCCGAACGCATGCACTGCACAACTCTGCGTAACAGAATTCAGAGCTTGCACAGAGGTCGCGACACAAATGAACGCCTGCATAGAATTCACCGTGCGCCCGCAATGAGGGGGAGAACATCAAAAAGAGGCCCAGAAACTGCCGAAAACGCCTTCTGCCTCCCACACGAAAATGGTCCCGCCCCCCACCCCTCTTCTCCCCTGGCCTCCCCAGCCCCGCCCCCTCCACCCCATCCCCGCGGTCTCTGGGGACACGGACACACGGACACACGGACACGGCCTGCGTTATGCACCGCGCGGGTGCTGCAGATTGAGGCCGAAGCGCACATAAAGACCAGACCCCTGCAGACAAAGTGAAACAACCAGGGGGCCATGAAAGCTCCCCGCGGTCTCCGGGGGCCCTTTGGAAGCACTTCCCAAAGCTCTTCCCCTGACCTCCCCAAGCCTGCCTCCTCCAACCCGCTCCCCCCCAGCTCCCGAGGCCCCCGGAAGTACTTCCCGGAGCTCTCCGGCGCCAGCCCCCCTGGGGAGGGCCCCCGCAGAGGCTCCCCGAGGGGCCCGAGAACGTCCGAGTCCGCGGAGAAGGGGTGCCAGGATGCCAAGGGATGCGCATTGTGGCCCGAAGCATGTGCGCGGACCAGGGGGGGCGGGGGGCACGGCAGGTGTTGAAAGAAGAGGAGAGGAGGCCATGAAAGCTAGCTGAAAATCTGCATAGCCCCAGTGGGCACCCTCTCTTGGACGCCCCCGGAACCTCGCTCCTCCTCCCTCCTCCTCCTCCTCGTCCTCCCCTCCTCCTCCTTCGCCTCCTCCTCCTCCTCCTTCTCCTCCTCCGCCTCCGCCTCCGCCTCCGCCTCCGCCTCCGCTCCTCCTCCGCCTCCGCCTCCGCATCGCTCCTCCTCCGCCTCGCTCCTCCTCCGCCTCGCTCCTCCTCCTCCTTCTCCTCCTCCTCCTCCTCCTCCACCTCCCTTTTCCTCCTCCTCCTCCTGCTCCTCCACCTCCTCCTCCTCCTCCAACTCCTGCTCCTGCTCCTCCTCCTCCTCCTCCTCCTCCTCCTCCTCCTCCTCCTCCTCCTCCTCATCCTCCTCATCCTCCTCATCCTCCGCCGACGAGCGAAGGCCAGACGTCTTCAGAATAAGAGTAGCGGCAGAGGAGCAAACAATTTCAGATGTCCGCGCGGACTTCATTCGGGGGCGCGCAAACATGGATTAGCGATCCACGGATTTGGCGCGCCTCCCCCAAATGCGGCTGGTGCCGCCTCGCTCGGCGGCGGAAATCCGCGATTTCTCCTGGAAACGGCACCCGTCGCGAATCCACGCCCTCTTGATCCATGTTTGCGACCCATGGGTCAGCGCCGGATCCCCCCCGGCGCGGAAAGCGGGGCACCGCCGACCAGAGGAAAACCGTGGGGACTTCCTCTTCGAGCCTGGCGGGCGCAGCACAAAGAAGTCGAGATTCCCCTCGAGAATCTGAGCTCTAGATGCCCTGCTCTCGCGCTGCACGGCGCCCACGCGCGCATGCCGAGGGCTGCCTCGAGCCCAGGCGAGCACCAAAGGAGCCCGAGGCGCGTCGAAGCTCGGAACGCACCAGGCGGAAGGCCGCCAGGATGGGATCCGAGACGATGGGGCTCCGGCAACGTCGGGATGGAGAAGATCGGACTCCGGGCCGACGCGGCATCGCCAATGCATCGGCGACGCGGCGCGAACCTCCGGCCGGCTCCACCTGCTCCAGTCCAACTCTTCAGGGAAACGACAGGGCAGGGACTCGATGCGACGGAATCTGCACCATGTCCACCGCTCCCTGGCCAGGCCCGCCCCGAACCCAGCAGCGGCGCACACGCCACGCCCTCCTGGCTTGGCCAGGAGGGCGTGTGCACCGCCCCATGGGCTCGGGGCGACGGGGCTCCTCAGATGCCCTCCGGCCGCCCGCGAGGCCGCCCGCGAGGCCGCCCGCGGCTTCGGGGAGGGCTCTGGGAGGACAACAACGAATCAGAGTCACCCTTCCTGCTTCGATAGAACTCGGCAACCTCATCGTCTCTCCCGCGCCGCGCAGAGGCGCGCGCGCTGCCGCGTGCGCGCAGGCGCGCGCGGATGCAAACTCGCCGTGGCTCGCCCTCCAGGAAGGAGCCGGCATCGGCGGACCCCGGCCGCCCCCGCCCCCGGCTGCGGACTCCGCGGACCCCAGCCGCCCCCGCCCCCCCCCCCTCCTCGGCGGCGAAACCGCGCCTGTCGATCTGAGCAGCTTCCCGGGCCGGCTCGGGAAGCTACGGTAGGTTCGTGCGGCGTCGGCGCGCGCAAAGGTTTTTGACACCGCGTCGATCGTTCAACCTTGCATCGATCGCAACCCCGATCGTTCAAGGTTGAATTCAATCGGGCCAAGTGGCGTTACCGCGTCTCTCGGTGCATCCGCGTCGCAGAATTCAACCTTGAACAGCTTCGCCGGCGTCGCCGGCACGCCATCGCCGCACGAACCTACCGTACTCAGATCGACAAGCGCATTTCACTACTCGCAAAGTAGCTGCTCGCAAATGGCCTGGATCCGCCCGCGGGGGATTTGCGGTCCACTGCATCGGGGCAGACATGCTTGTTTTGGGGGACCTTTTGCGAGTAGGCACTTCGCGAGTAGTGGACCGCGCTCGGTGAGAGAAGGCGATGGGGCTCCTCAGAAGCCCTCGGGCCTCCCGCGAAGCCGCCCGCGGCTTCGGAGAAGGCTCAGGAAGCTGCACCAGAAAACAAACGACACCACCACACCTGCGGCCCCAGGGGGCTCAACGTATACCAGGAGATCCGGCGTAAGCTTTTGCGTGGCGTACGCTACGGCGCCCGATGGGCCGTCACGCAACATGGAAGGTCGTCTGGGGTGGTGCCGATTGTCTTTTGGTAGAGAAGCCCTCCTCC